AGATGAAAACTTAGACTGCTAGAATTCGGTGCCTTCTTACTGCAATACTCTTAACATAGTTGTCTACTGAAAACAAGTATTAATGGAACTGTAAATAGCTTGGGCAGTATTTCTTCAGACTTCACCTCAGCTCTGGATAGAATAATATTTTACCATTTAAATTAAGTGCTCTGTTCTTTCTCCCTTTCCCTTCTGTATCAGAATTATGTGCCATGAAACAGTCTTGTCCCAAGACACATGGGACATGTGAACCAGCCTCTCTGCCAGATGACAAAATGTTAATAAAAATACTGAAGAATGGGGAAGTAACACCCTACCACTGGGTATAAAAGGGAGAAAAAATATTGATATTTTTAGCTGTTAATTGCTATATTAAATTTGGTCAGCATTTTCATGGTGCTTAAAGTATGATATGGTGTGAGAAGGGACTTGTCAGGTTTATTGATAGCTGAAGGTGGGAAGGAGCACATTTTACCTGACTGATGGAGGAGAAAGGTGACTCTGTTCTATTCTTAACTAGGATTATGTCTTGAGTACCAAGTCTTAGCTACTGCCAGCTTCTTTGGTTTAGCAATACTGTCAGCAATTTAACAGCCCAAAACTGCCAGCTGTGAGAAAGTTTGAAAGGGAAAGCTTAGGATAATCAAATAATCCAGTGGGTAGCTAAAACCCATCTTTTTCAGAACTCCAGAATTTAAATTTGCTATGTAGGAACCTTTTGCACAGAGAAATCTCTGGAAAAAAAGCTGCGGTGTCATTTTTTCTCTCAAGTATTCAATGAGAGCTTTGCTAAGCTGCAGCAGAAACAGCTTTGCTGAAGTTTAAAAACAGTTTTATAGAATTGCAAGGTCTTAAAGCTTGTGCCAGTGCCCAGTACCCCCCGTGGTGTTCAGATTGTCACATTACACCGTGGTGACAAGGGCATCTCAGCAGCTGGAATGGCACCATGTGTGTCCACTGCAGGGTTGAGGGAATCCCAGGAACCAAGCCAGTGCTTCCCTGCTGTTGATCAAGGGCAGTGAAGAAAACTTTCACAGTTCTCTCCTCTGAGGCTTAATGTGTGTTTTCTGTGAGGATGATCAATGCACAGAGCCTGAGATACAGAAGGACTTTTCAGTGATACAGAGGATCTTGTAGTTCTCACCCAGGAGCACAGAAGGAAACCTATTTTTATATGCTGGTCTTCATATCAAGCCAGGATTGTCCTTCATCATTTGTCACTGAGGTACTCAGTGGAAACTCTGTAAGTTATTTCTTTATGCATAAAGCACAAACCTTGATAACCAAAACAGGGCGCCACATGTTGAAAATTCTGCCAGAAAGCTGCGTCTTGCACGCTGGGAAACATAGCAGGACTTACCTCAGAATTGTCCCCTTTTAATTGCCCACAGTTAAACAGATGTGTTTCCATGGATTACACTGGGAAAATCTTGTTTTGCAGTCAGAGGAGGTATAGTATTTAAATGTGCCAAGCAGTTCTAATTCTGGATTCTGATGTTGTTTTGGGGACTTAATTTTCCACTGTTTTGAAGAGAGGGTTTTCTAATGGAGTAAATCCTTGTTTGTGTCAACACTCAAAAGAGAATTTTCAAACTTTCCTCAAATGACTGATAAATACTGTTGCCTCTGACTTACTGACATGAATCTGTTGATTATTAGGATGCAATTAGGAGAGATCTTGAGAAAATAGGAATATGCTTATGTGACTTTGGTATTAGTAATAACAGATTTTATTGTTGCAGTGACTACAATGACTCTAGGAGAGTTAAAGCAACTTAATGAAAAACTGCTCAAGCAAATCCAGGGTGAGAATTTTTCAATACTCTTTTGTTTTGGGTTTGTGGTGCTTTGTCATAAAAAAAAAAATTTGGTTTTAAAAAATAAATTTTGATTGCCTTTTCATCAGTTAAGTTTTTAACTGAAGTCTCGTCTTTTGCATGGAAATCTGTGATATAGAGAGATTTCTAGGTGCTTTTATTATGTAATCTGCTTTGGTGCTGCAAATAGGCCTGGTATTCTCTTTAAGAATTTGACTAGAACCATTAGTTCTGGTGCCACAGCACTGCTGATACAGGCCAGAGTCAGTCAAACTGATCCACCTTGGCTCAGGTTATAACTAGAAACGAGGTGATGCTGTTCAGTTTGCAATGCATACAAAGCTGTGATGGAACCAGGAAGAGCTTTTCTCACAGTACAGGGACCAAGTGCATTGACCCAGTGCTGTTGTTGCAGAAGTGTTTGAGGAGCTGACACAGCAGGTCCAGGAGAAGGACTCGCTGGCCTCCGAGCTCAACGTGCGCCACATCGCCATCGAGCAGCTGCTGAAGAACTGCTCCAAACTGCCCTGTCTGCAGATGGGAAGAGCAGGGATGAAATCCAATGTCCCCATATAAAGGGAGACAACTTCCATCCCCCCTGGAAAACTGGCCCTAACAGAGTTGATAACCATTAAGTACAGCTGCACACATGTTTAGAAGCTTTTGAGAAAACTCGGGCAGCTTTCTCTATGTATTCATAATCCATGGGAAGTCTTATTCCACTTTGGGTTTAACAAAAAGGGCAAATACTTTGGGTATTAAAATCTACTGTAATAATGTTTATTCATATTTGAGGATTATTATTTTTTCCCCATAAGTGTGCATGAGCCTTGAAATTAATTCTGTGTTTTGTTTGCAATAAAATTGTTTCTAGCAAAGAATGACCTGAAGCCTGTAAACCTGCCTCCTTCATACAGAGGACAAAATAAAAATTTGACTTTTGATCAGGTCTGATCCTTTTACATCCAAGAGAGCTTTAAGGGGAGGACAGTATTAACAAAACTCATGTTTTCTTATTTATTATGAGCAATATTTTATTATTGAAATTTTATACTAAATAAATATCACTATTTTAGGTACTTTTCCAGATCTCTTTATAAAATGTCTGAATTATTCTATGTAACATTTATGCCTTGTGTATGATTGTTTGTCTTTTTTCAGGTCTGTATCTTTCATGATACAATTTTAAAAATATTGTTTCCCAAAGAGATGAATTTCACATTTTGAAGAACAAACTCTAGTGGTGTATCACTTATTTTTATCAGCTTTATAACTGAAGAATTTGGTTCATGAGATGTTTAAAAAAAGCACAGCACTTGCTTTAAACTAAAAAAAAAATGATCCATACTTCGGTTTTAATGCATAGAAGTTGAAGTTGTTTTATATGTGTGAAATTTTCAATGCTGAAAAATTACTTTGACAAAACTCAATAAATTTGTAATATTACACTGCCTTGTTATGATTTCTTTATAAAGCTGGATCACACTGACAAAGCCTTTTAATTCTGAAATGCAAGCAGTAATGATACATTATAAATCAGAACAGCTTTTGCATTTTTTAAACTTATGTCAGTCTACCATGACAGGAAATCTTAGTCTCTGCCAAAAATACTGCAGGGCTGCATTTGAGTAGCTGAAAGTTGCTGAGTTGCACTGAAAAATCTGGGGGAGGACAGGATGAGTGGAAGATACAGACACATACACAAAAAAAAGATGAAAGTTTGCGCTTTTAGTTCTTTAAGTGAAAATGGAGTAACTTCTGTAGCTGGGCTGAAGCATGACTAGCATGAAGAAAGGTTTAAATTTGATTTTAAACTCAAGCTGAGAAATAAGCCAAAGTTCAGAGTAGCTTTATTGATTGATCTGTGTGTAGTGATAACTGGGTATTATTTGTGTTTTTATTATTTTTTTATTGTTTATTCCATATCCTCCAGCTAATCCAAAGTCTCTCCACAAATGCATGAATAGGGACTTGAGCTTGTCTGAGTATTTTGTGGTTCATGAGGGGAAAAAGTCAGTAGCATCATTCTTTGTGTATGTAAGTGGGCCTATGAGTAAGTAGGCATTAGAAAATTCCCAGTTTTATTGTCAGAAGATGGATTAATCTCCACGTGCAAGTCTGTTGCTAAACCTTGTCGATTCAGTACCAAGGTAAGGGTCAAGTAAGAAAAGGATCTCTGAGAAGGACCTGAGAATCCTGGTGGAGAACAAACTGTCCCTGAGGCAGCAGTGCCCTGTGGGCCAAGGAGGCCAATGGGATCCTGGGATGCACTGGGAATAGCATTGCCAGCAAGTCAGAGGAGGTGATCCTGCTCCTTTACTCAGCCCTGATGAGGCACCTCTGAAGTGCTGTGTCCAGTTCTGGGCTCCTCCAGCAGCACTGTGGGAGCTCAGCTGCACAGCTGTAGATTCTTTTGGGAATAGGCTGTAGTGCAGAGGTGAGCCAAAACCTTCCTGCCTTGTGTAATACCTGTCTGAGACATCTGTGGCTGCAGCCTTGGGATGCTGGGAAGACAAAATTTTATGTAGCTGCCTTACCACAACTAGTTGTGTGGATCATCTCCCACACATTCCTCTGGAGATGATTCCTCTGCATTCTCCTGCCAGCTGTACCTTTTGCTACCAAAAATCATGTGGCTGCTTCCTCTGACTCCCTCACAAAACCACGGAACTGTTTGGCTTGGAAAAGCCCTCTGAGATCATTGAGTCCAACTGTTCAACCTGCACTGCCAAGCCCTGCCCTAACCCATGTCCCCAAGTGCCACATCCACTCAGCTTTTAAATCCCTCCAGAGATGGTGACTCCATCACTGCCTCAGGCAGCCTGTGCCAGGGTTTCACCACCCTTTCTGGGAAGAAATTTTCCCAATATGCAACCTTAACCTCCTCTAGCAAAACCTGAGGCCTTTTATTATGTCCATTCACTTGTTTCCTGGGAGCACAGAATGAGCTCCATTTGGCTATAACCTCTTCTCAGGTATAATATAAGATGTATATATATGCATATATGTATATATATACATATATATGCATATATGTATATGTACATATTATATATATGTATATATAAGAATATATATACAGGCAAGAGGAGGAGCATGGCCTTTCTGCTCAATTGATGTGCCATCAAATTTATTCCTGTGAACCTGGTGCCAAAATGATTTTTGCTTTTCTGTTTTCTTCATACTCTGTAGCTCTGTAGATTCTTATTGTATAGTTATATAGTTCCTATCTGTCTCCAGTATTTTTCCTACCTTGACAGACAGAAAGACAAAACACATTTCGAAGTCCCTATTCTAATCTTGGTTCTTTTGGGAACCAAGGACGAGCCACCCTCCCAAGACACTTTCCCATAAACAACTTGCAAAAGGGGGGCTCCCAAAGAGAGTTGAACCAGAAGGGGGAGGAACTGATGCCTTAAAAATCTAGCAATAGAACAACACACATAAAAAACATTTTTAATAAAGGAGGTAATATAAAAGCTGGTCTTTAATTGGAGGCCTCCAGGGGCATTTTTCCATGTTGGCCAGTGAGCTGGATGCAGTTAAGATCTTTGTCCAATCATCTCTGTAAGCATGGGAAATTCAAAGCCCCTGTAGAAGAGGGTGCAATTCAATCAAAGTTGGCTGTTGCTGCATGATCTTGTTGTGTTTGTGTCACTTTCCTGTCTCCACCATCAGTGACAGAGAGTGGCTGGAGGGTCAAGGAATGATGGGAGGTGCTCACAACCCCCAGTCACCTGTAGTCCAGTTCCAGCTCTTGTGCTAATTGACCTTACAGCTTACAGCATCCCAGCAATCCTCCCACCACTGCTCAGTCCTCCTGGCACAGTGGCACATCCTGGATCCGCTCCTTCTGCCAGCTGGTGTCTGCCTGCAGGGCCCCCAGTTTCCCCCAGTTCACCCCAGGGATCCTGGTGGGTGGGTGAGGGGAAGTCTGCACCTACCTGGTCAATCCATGGCCCCAGGTTAGGGGAGCACTCATAGAGACACGTCCTGGATGAAGTGGCACTTGTACTTGTCCGGCATGGCCCCACAGTGAGCCCAGTTGGAAGTTTTACAGGTAGGACTGATCCTGCTGGGTTTCCAAACCGGTGCTTGCAATGCAGCAGGCATTGTCCTTACAGAGGAGACACTGCACCAGAGCAGCTGGGGATCAGCAAAGACCCATCAGGACCCACCAGGGCTCCAGGAAAAGTGTTAGTTCCCATGGGTGGGTGACACTGAGTGATAGAATTCATGTTGGGACACAGAGCCCCCCAGCCTCCATCCTAGTGACCCCACAGCAAGTGACACCAGCGTGTGCTGGTGCAGTGGATGAGGACCGTACCTGCCCGTAGAGCTGCCCCTCAGGGCCAGGCTCTGTTTTATTGTGCTTGGCATCCATGCAGACATTGAGCAGAGAGTCCTGCGGCAGGAACTGGCCAAGCCACCAGCACCAGCAGAGCCAACACCGCTGCCATTGCTCTGCCAGGGCGACAGCAGGTCAGGACAGCAGCACTGAGACACGCGGTGACAGCGGGGACAAAGTCCCCCACTGTGCGCGTGGAAGTGCAGCAGCACGTGGTCACTGCCACCAACAGTGGGGCCAGGGATCTTACCTGGGGGGTGCCAGGGGTCGGGGCTCTTACCTGGGGGGCAGCTGGCTCCAGGTGCCATGGGATGAGCTCAGCTCAATCTCAAACGTCCTGGTGCAACCCTTGGCCACGGATCACAGTGGCAGATTGGACAGCACTGAGGGCACGGAGGAGGCCCTGCACCCTTCCCTGGCACCCTGCTGCATCCTGGATTGACATTTGTGCCCATCCTGGCCCCCCAACTGCCCTGCATACGGCTGGAATTCATCCTCCTGCACCAGGCTGGGGCCACCAAGAGCCAAAATCCACCAGTGGCTGTTTTTCCTTCCCTCCTGTGGGAGGTGGCCCGATTCCCTGACACCAGCACAAGGGGCAGGACCTGGCCCCCAACACCACCGGGTCCCTGTGAGTGACCAGCGGGGAGCACTGCAGTGGGTAAGAGATGTTGCTGGTGGGGACAGGAACCCCTGTGGGGTCACCGATGGCCACAGGGTAGAGGCAAATACCCCTCATGGAATTACAGGTACTCCAGGGGATCACAGATGCCCCATGGAGGGGGGACCAGATGCCCTGGGGGAGAGCAGTCACCTGTGGCTCGGGAGGGACAGAAACTCTCCAGTGTGGGACATGCCTCGAGGAGGGAGGGAGAGAAGATACCCTGGAAGATGCAGATACTTCCAAGATCACCCATGATGGGGGGACCAGACATGCCCCGGGGGTCACAGGTGCCCTGAGGAGGGGGAAGACACACCCCAGTGGGGTCGCAGATACTCCCTCACATCACAGATGACAGAGACCCCCCACCCATGGATGCCAGCTGCCTCAAAGGAGCCGATACCCCATGAGGATCACTGATACCTCCCCCTGGGGTCATTGGTACCCGTGGGGGGTCACATACCCACCATTAGTCACAGATATCCCTTCATTCGGGTCACAGGTATCTCTGGGGGTGGTCATGAACGCCCCAGACCCGGAGGCGCGGGGCCCCGCCCACTACCTGTCAATCAGGCTCCGCCCCGCCCATTTTTCATCTTGTGGGCCTGGCCGCGCCAGACATAACCGCTCTCGCTCTGCGCATGCTCCGTGCGCTGTAACTGCTTCCGGCTTGGCCGCCACTTCCGGCACCGGGGTGCGGGGAGATGCGGGGCCGGGTATCCGGAGGCCGGGAACGGGTTTGGGGCTGGGGGAGCGGCCTCCGGTCCTCCAGCGGGCACGGCCGCGGTGCTCGTTTCAGTGCCCGGGGTGGGGGTTCCCGCGCGTCCCGGCACACGGGGCTCCTCCGGTGCATCCCTCCCCTGCCTGTTCACCGACCGTGCTTGTGCTTCAGCGTCCTGTGCCAGTGTTGCCGGCTCGGGCCCCGCTCTCGTGTCCATCATCCGTGTGTCATACCGGAGCTCCCTGTTTGCGGTGTGGGGGTTAATTAATAAGCTGCTGCTGAACCGAGGCTCCCGCACCAGCTCCCAATAATTAATTAACTAATCTGCCGAGGGAGGCGAGGAGCGATTTCTGATCCTGGTAACTAAGTGTTTGTGCTGTGAGCCTGGTTTGGCGCTGCAGTGCCCCTGAGTATGAGGGAAGAACAGTTCATATGGCTGATCAGATGTCTCAGATCTTTTTTGATAAAGAAATGCATAAGCTTTGTGTCTGAGCTCCTCCTGCCACACAAGGGGACACCTGGAACCCTCTCAGCCCCAGAGTGGCTTTGGGACCCTGCCTGGAGCCAGGGTGCTCAGGCAGGTGTCTGTAGCTGCTCTTCCCTGCTTGGCTGGGGGCTGCCAGGGAGGCAGCAGGGCTCGGGCTGCAATTAGACGTGGTCAAGAAGCGACACAAGGCAGCAGCTGAGCCCAAAGGGCCCTGTTTGCTGGGGTACCATGGAGCTGTCGGGGTGCTCACCCGCCTCTCTCCCTTCCCCAGCTCCAGAGCATTGCTGAAAAGGACAACAACTTGGTGCCCATAGGAAAGCCAGCGTCCGAGGTGGGTGCGTGGGCAGGGAAGTGAGGGGTTGCCACAGGGCTTGAGGGGCAGAGGGGGTTGCTGGAGCTGTTATGTCCACAGCACTATGATGAGAGGATGAGGAGGATGATGGAAGATGATGAAGATAGTGAAGAGGACTCAGAAGATAAGGACATGCAGGATATGGATGAGATGAATGATTATAATGAGTCTCCTGATGATGGGGAGATCAATAAGGTAAATAGCATGAGACCCCAAAGCAGGGGATGTGAAATGTGTGGGACCCTGAACATGAGTTCCAGGGGCTGTCTTCTCTCCTTCAGTCCCTCTGCAGGGTTCTTTCTCTGGTAGGAGATCTCAAACCTCTTTCTTTCCTAGGTGGATATGGCAGGGACAGAACAGGATCAGGACCAGTGGATGATCTGATTCTGTCACAACCACACCAAACCAGAGGCTGGGGGAGAGCCTTTGCTCCCCATGGCTCTGGGGATAGTTCAGTGAAGCTCCTCCTGCTGTGGGTGCTGTGTGGGGAAGAAGGGTTCTGAGGGGAGACTGCCACCTGACACATTAGAGCTGACACATCTTTTCTAATCAACTCAGTTTTCAAGAAAACAACCCCAAATCTGGTGTCTGAGGCCACCAGGGCAGGCAGGGGGTACCACTCAGGCAAGTGCAGGGCTGCCCCCCACCATCCACTGGTGTGCCTGGCAGACCTCCCTGTGCAGTGCAGGCAGGAGCACTACAGGGAATGAGCCCCCTCCTTACCCACTGTGCCCACCACAGACCACAGCAGCCACTGCGTTTCCTCCAGAGCCCATGTTGAGGCTGAGATGGGGGTTGGGGACCTGGCACCCTGCCGGTAACCGTGGCCACCACAAGGCAGGAGCCCCTTGCTCTCTCAGTGGGTGCCGGTGTAGCGCAGCTCGGCGATCCCATCAGGAATGGCGCGGAAGTACTCCAGGCTGGCGCGGTGCACCTTGCTGTGATACCTGCCGCAGGTCTTGGCGTACTGCAGGAAGTGGGGTGCCCCAGGGAAGAGGACATTATCAGCCAGGATGGTGGCCCCCTCAGCCAGCAGCTGGTGGCTCTCCAGCAGCCGTAGGTCCCGCAGGTAGCAGCGTTTGCAGTGATCCATGAAGACCAAGTTGGCATTCGTCAGGCCGTGCTTCTCCCGCAGGCGGGGTATCACAGCAAG